TTTGTGAAAATTTTATCCAGATTCATTCAGTAGTTATTGAGATATTAATTATTTAGTCCAGGCATATCATTTTTTGCACTCTTTGAAAAATAAGTCAGTCGCGTGGGATATATTTGCTGAATTAAGTTAGCATGCAGAAGGTTAATAAGCAAAACTTCACACCAATCTAAAGTGAATATTTTGATCTATTTTATGATGAAAATTGTTCAAAATGAGAGAGAAATGAACTCATAAGAGCGGAAAAGTGGTTCTGAGAAAATACCTTTTTATTTGGGTTAATGAAAACCAATGATATAAAAATATTTAAACCATGATAAAAACTTCTTTTCAACTTAAAAAGCAGAAGACATTATTTTACTTTGAAAGTTCAGCATAGAACACTTAAGAGGAAAACTGATGACAGTGATAGTAGAACAGTGATAAGAGATGGAACAGAACATGTTGTATTTTTTGCAAAGCAGATACAGTGAAATTTCATAAAGATAACAATTGGGATAGAATGGGGTTTGGGGATTTTCATTTTAGAGAAGTAAATATGGTCAGTACGAGGAATAAAAATGGAATGGATAAAAAAGTGTTCCAGTGGTGTTCATATCTTTTCTTTTATTGACTCTGCTCTACCATATTAGTCACTAAAGGTAGAGCAGTTCTTCCCATTGTCGAGTTGAAGAACTGGTATCTTTATCCTGGCTAGAACCTAATTCTAGGCTAGAACCTATTTCTAGCCAGAGCCAGCCTTTTATCGAGTTGGCAGCACTCTAGTAATCGCTGGTATAGGTCAGCAGTCATAGGTCAAAGACAAATCACAAGAAGTGCTGTGACCTGGGTTTGAACCCAAGACCTCTACTTTCAGCCTGAAGCCATACTTCCTGCTTTTCAGACCAATGCCTTAACCACTAGGCCAACCCGGCGACCACTCAAAAGAGAGATTGTTTACAACTATATTCAAAAGACTAGTCTCGGTTAGGAGAATGAACTTCATCAGTCTACTGCATGTTACGCCTGCCTTGGACAATTCTGGAATTTTTACATAGTGTAGATTTAAACGTCCTCTTTTGAATATTCATAATTTAATTTGGGTGTTATTTCTATATTTTTCATAAAAAAATTATAAGCGCAGTAGACTAATGAACTTTGTTCTCCCAACCGAGACTTGTCTTTTATTGAATCGGTCTACTGCATGTTACGCCTGTTTCAGACAATTCGGTATTTCTACATACTGTAGATTTAAATGTCCTCTTTTGAATATTCATAATTTAATTTGGGTGTTATTTCTATATTTTTCATAAAAAAACTAGAAAAACAGCAACTCCACGGAGTAGCAAATCCCACCAAACAAAAATATTTAAATTACAAACAGAGCTACTGTGTCCCTTAATGCATCAGCTTATAAATTTTGAACCAAATCCATCAACTAGTATTTGAGTTATCAAAGATTATCAACTATGTTGCCTGAAGAATCATCACTTTTGTTTTCTCACAGGAACATGTTGAATGTGAATTAACTTGATACATACATTCATCCAGGAAATTGAATTTTCTGTATAAGGTTTCCTATAATCATACCTTTAAGCAAACATCTCAAGAGTGCCATTGTAACAGATTATCTTGTTATAAATGATTAATCACCCAACCATACACACTGATCTATTATTGATCACTGAGTTCACTGAACGATAATTATATTCTTACTTCAAACCTATCACTTCTAATTCATAAAAAATAGACATGTGAAATTGAACAAATTCAATTTAAGAATCTAGATTTCAGACTTTTTTAAGCTGAATCATCCAGAATAAGCTGAATATTTAGAGGTTATGTCACTATGACGTGAAATATGCCTGAGTTCTCCCAATATAGGCCGACCTTGGGAGGCTCTATATTTGGGCAAGAACGAAGGCATATGTCACGTCATAGTGACATAACTGATGTATTACATGCCTTTGTTCCCATGGTTACTTTGTATCAATGACGTGACGTCATGATATTATCATGGTTATTAAAGAAATCTAATATCAAAACGAGGTAAGCGGGCTATATCGGGGTAATCGGGCAATATCGGTGGATATAGCTCGCTAAATTTCCCATTGACTTCCATACAAATGCTTCGCTAGGTATGTAATACAGACATTTAGACAATTCCTATGTAGGTTCTCTTCGACTCCATTGATTTAACATTGGAACATCATCATATTGGTTTTTCAAGATTTTAAAACGTCATAGAATCTAAACCGGACATTGGATTTCACCTTGGATATCAGATTCGGACTCCTGGGAAAATTCTACCCTTATTTCATAACTCACATAAATTAAAGTATCCCAATACATCAAGATCTCATTAATACCTTCAGAGTAATGCTGAAAACATATGTAAATATTATCGTGTCATTATATTGTATCATTAAGAAGAAATAAAAGAAATGGTACATTTTGGAGTATGATACTCCGGCGCCGTTTTCAATAGCTTTTACTCTTAGCGTTGTTGGACTTCAAACAGAAGATGAAGTTACCCACAAATGATATATCCATTGCATGGAGTAAGTAATTTTCTTTGGGATAGTGAAACATATGAGTAAAAAATTAATTGTGTGAGTTTCTTAGTGTTTCTATGCAAAATAGCACGCTCCGTATCACAGTGGACAAATTTTTAGAAAGCGGCCTGTGATATGGTCCTTTAGTTGCTTATTTTTTAGATTCAAAGTAGTTCCAGACATTTAAGGGATTTATCCATCATTTGCATGAAGCTTCATTTATTGTGCTACTTAGAGTGAACACATTGGTGTCAGAAGGGGGAGGGCGTTTGGGGCGACTGCCCCCCCCCCCCTTTCCTTCCCAGATTTTTTTAGATTTGACACCGAGCCTAGAATTGAAAGCTCTAAAGCTAGAATTAAAGTGAAAGTGTAATAATGACAGAAACGTACTGTATCAGTGTATAGTTTCTCAGGAACCCATACAGTATGTAAATACTTGAAGAATAAATGCAAAATGTATATTTTAGTAAAAGTCAAGTTAAATTTTCTAAAAACGCATTTTTTCTTGTTTTATTATTGGGATTGTTGTGCTGAGATATGTTTATAATGCACCAGAGATGGTCTAAATTTGAAAGTTTTCTTGGGGCATGCCCCCTCCCGATCCCCCTCGATTGCTCTTCACGCACGACCCATCCATTAAAGTCGCCTCCTTCCTTGGCAAATCCTTCTGACGCCCCTGTGAACGGGAATTATTTTTCTACCGCTTGGGAGAGTTTGAGAGACATGAAACTTAGAATTTAGCTCATTGTGACATCTTTTGATGGTTGAGGTTTATTAATGTCTCCGACAATACAGTTTTGAACAAAATAAATGACAGGTGGATTTTCTATCACCATAGTCTATGTCTATGTCAATAATCTGCAAAAGGCTAATAAGCCCATATAAAGCAGATTTTATAATTTAACAGTCTGTGATAGAATTTGAATATAATATAATTTAAAACCTAAGCATTTAAAAATATATCTATGGTTTGCAACTCATTAAAATTGAAAGGAACTTTCCTGGTTGGCCCCTGTACCCCCCTAGGCAGTCCCTTTATGTTGAAATACCCTGGGGCGACTGTCAGGCTAACACGTTGACATCACCCCTCTTTACCAGTAGTGCAGGCTTGTTGCTGTGCACTGGGGACCTTTTACATTAAAACATAGATCTATATTAAAAACACACATATTTAATTGCAGTTATTGACATACATGTAGGCATAGTATGATGATTTAAAACTACTTAGACTGTCACAGTCTAAGATGTCACCAGGTAGAGTGTTCCATTTAGCTATTGTCCTAGGGAAATAGCTAAATTTGTATGCATCCATTCTAGTTGATGGTTGTATGAACTTAGAAGGATGATACAACCTAGTGTTGGTATTGATCTGTTGGCGGAAGTATTGAGGCACGTCGATGGCAGCTAGGTTTTGCTTTCATTTGTAGATAAGGAAAACTCTAGCAGCCTCTCGACGCTCCTTCAGTGGTCTTGAAGAGCTTTGGTGGCCTGGTTCCCTTGAGTGACATTTGGTTACAAACCTGGCTGCTCTTCCCTGTACCTGTTCCAACATATCAATATCTTTTTGTTGGTATGGATTCCATGTCGAAGTGGCATACTCTAAATTAGGCCGGACAAGTGACTTATACACCTGAGCCTTCACTTTTTCAGGGCATTGATGGAGGTTGTGCCTGAGAAATCCAAGCACCTTATTGGCTTTGGATACAATACATGTAGTTTGAATATGTGTAGTCCAGCGTAAGTTGTTTGTGAATGATGTGGTGTTTTGAAAGCGCTTTCAAATTTTGTCTACATACATATCCCTTAAAGCTGGACTTCCCTCCGAAACGCAATCTTGGGTTGTTTCGGGGGTGAACTTTATCATTTTGAGCTTAATGAAAGATTATAGAATGATGAACAAATGGGGCAAATCTTGTGTAGAAATACTTACGATAAATGTGTCATTTCAAAGATTTTTCATTGAATTTGCTTCGATCGGAGCCGGCGATATGATTTTGGAAAGATTTCTAAATGAAGAACGTGACGTCACTTCCGAATCATAGCATTCAAAATAAGTAGCGTTTAATTACTTCCACTCTTCACAAGAACACGGTGGTGTAACGGTAGAATCCTCGCTTAGCACGCGGGAGGCCCGGGTTCGAATCCTGCACTCGCCTTTTTATTTTTTTAACTAAATGATTGTTCTTTGATATTACGCAGAAAAAAACAATTTTTATTTACATAAACTTTATATTAGAGCTTGAAATGAATGTAAAACATTAAATGTCAACATATTGCGTTTTGGAGCGATGTGCAGGTTTAAAATTTGTATATTTTACATTTTGTATACTGTCATCCACTGATGTATGACCTCTTGAAAATTCTCTTATTTAACATGGGAAATCCTCACTTCAGCAAATCCAATTCCAAACAGACAACTGGAAAAATATTCAAGAAGTTGCATAAAAATATTACATCTATGCGACCTACCTCTTCCACTGTAAGCGGCATGCAGATTCTATACTCCTTCATCAACATCTTCACGAAGTTTTGTTAATACACTTACGATGGAACCAATAGAAATATCAAGAGTTTCAGGAGAAAAACATTTCTGGACATCTGATCAGGTTGATAGGTCAAAGTTCGGCGACGTAACAACAATTTCACCTAGGGATCTACAGAATGGTAATTCATATTTATTCATATAAGGTTTTCAAACATTATTAAAACATCTAAAAACAGCTGAAACATATTTAATTTGTAGAATCCATGTTCGGAAAAATCTTTTAATAGTCATATATTATTGATAAATGTAGACTTGCCGTTTTGAATCAAGTACCATTTTGTACAAAATCGAAGTTAATTTATTGCTAAATGTCAAGTTTCTGTCATGTGAAGAAGACGTTTGAGGGGAATCTACAGGTAGTGAGACAGGGGCGGATCAGAGAACCAATAAGGTGGGGCCAAATTTTAGGTCATAGAAAAACTTTTGGACCCCTATCTATAACCCAAAAGTGGACTCAAATTTTGAAAGTTTGAGGCCCATTTTCTTCAAAATTTGGCCTCAAATTAAAAAATAAGGCCTAAGGCCAGTAATATCCAAAAAGGCCTTTTTTGGCCCAACCTTTTTTTGGGCCCAATTTTTTTTCTGGGCCCACCCTAGGGGGGGCTGCCTCCCCCCCCCCCCAGATCCGCCAGTGTGAGATATGACATATCATATGTGTAACAACTGAATATTTATAGGATATCCTATGATTTTGAGGAATATCATTTTTATCTACGAGGTGATATTGATATCTCCACGAGAGAGCAAAGCGAACGAGTGCATATAATATCATCGATTAGATTAAAATGATATTCTGAAAAAAATCATAGGATGTTCTTATTATCCTACACTTACAAGGAGTGTACTAAATGTATAATATCATTGCAAAATGAATTTCATGCCAAATAGAGCCAATTTGGCGGGAAGTCAACAAGCGGAGTATATCATCACAACATCCTCCGCATATTGGGTTTTCCGGAGTATCGTCACGATATCCTCCGCCCGTAGTATATCGTTACGATATCCTCCGGTTATTCATTTTGCAAATAAATATCAAATATATTTTTTAATGTCATTATACATCTAGTACTACACTAAGTGTAGAATAAATATCATTATTATTTTATATTATCAATCATTTATAGAGACGTGACCGATTTAGCTTTTGTTTATTTTATCGTTGTATGCCATGGGCATTTCCACACGGACTTGAGTCAACGTTTCCACAGATCCGGAGCCAGATCCAGCCCCTATTAATAGTAGTAGGCTCAAAGAATAAATGTATATTTATTATGCCTAGACAGTCGGTGAACGTTTCTTTCAAAACTTCTCCATACTCTCAAAACGTTGGCGTCCGACGATCAAAAAATCCATTTATTCTCTCATTTGGCCTTATTCTTAAGTTTTCCCACCATATATAATAAGTTTGGCCGATGCCTTATCTAACATCACCTACCTTTTGTCAGTTCATCACAGGAAATTGAATAGAAACTCCCCTTCTCTCATATACCCTGGGTCAACACTGATCATGATCATTATACTGTACCCCGGGTCGACACTTCACTTCTCAATATGATCATTGCACTGTACCTGGGTCGAGATTATAGTTTCCATTATAACCATTATACTGTACCCTGGGTCGACACTTCAGTTTCCAATATAATCATTATACTGTACCCCTGGTCGACACTTCACTTCTTAATATGATCATTGCACTGTACCCGGGTCGACATTATAGTTTCCATTATAATCATTATACTGTACCCCATGTCAACACTTCAATTTCCAATATAATCATTATACTGTATCCTGGGTCAACATTATAGTTTCCATTATAATCATTATACTGTACCCTGGGTAGACACTTCAGTTTCCAGCATAATCATTACATTATACTCCGGGTCGACACTTCAGTTTCCATTATAACCATTATATACTGTACCCCGGGTCAACCCTTCAGTTTTCAATATAATCATTATACTGTACCCTGGGTCAACACTTCAGTTTCCAATATGATCATTATACTGAACCCCGGGTCGACACTTCAGTTTCCAATATAATCATTATACTGCACCTCGGGTCGACACTTTAGTTTCAAATATAATCAATATACTGTACCCCGGGTCGACACTTCAGTTTTCAATATGATTATTATACTGTACCCTTGGTAGACACTTCAGTTTCCAGCGTAATCATTACACTGTACCCCGGGTCAACACTTCAGTTTCCAATATAATCATTATACTGTACCCCTGGTTGACATTATAGTTTCCATTATAATCATCATACTGTACCCCAGGTCGAAGCTTCAGTTTCCAATATAATCATTATACTGTACCCTGGGTTGACATTATAGTTTCCATTATAATCATCATACTGTACCCTGGGTCAATACTTCAGTTTCCAATACAATCATTATACTGTACCCCGGGTTGACATTATAGTTTCCATTATAATCATCGAACTGTACCCTGGGTCGATACTTGGGTTTCCAATATAATCATTATGCTGTACCCCAGGTCAACACTTCAGTTTCCAATATAATCATTATACTGTACCCTGGGTCGACACTTCAGTTTCCAGCATAATCATTATACTGTACCCCAGGTCAACACTTCAGTTTCCAATATAATCATTATACTGTACCCTGGGTCGACACTTCAGTTTCCAGCATAATCATTATACTATACCCCAGGTCGACACTTCAGTTTCAAATATAATCAATATACTGTACCCCGGGTCGACGCTTCACTTCCCAATATGATGATTATACTGTACCCCTGGTCGAAGCTTCAGTTTCAAAAATAATCTTGGTTTAAGAAGAATGCGAAATGTAGCGACGAACGAGTACACGGCACACATCTGCAAAGCATGGTGGATGTTTTGTGAGGGCCAAAGACTCGTTTTATTTTAAAGGTTCAAATTTAATGAATACTAAAATTGTTAAACTTTTACAATTTACCTTCAGGTTTGGAGCAAGTCAGGACTTCAAACTTGCTGTATGTGCATTAACAGATGTACAAGTGAACTCCTCGGGTACTTACTATCTTTACTAAACTTAGGTAAAATGGCTAGCCACAGCCTTAAAAAATGCATACTGCATACAAGAAAACTTTTCCACAGAGCACAAGATGGTTTCTACCAAAGAACAATAACAAAATATGGATGTATTGAAAACACAAAAGTCCTAAATTATCATGGCACACCTAAAGGTTTTATAGATGGTGCCAAAGTAATTGATCTACGTAGTGACACAGTGACACAGCCTAGTGATGCAATGAGGGAGGCTATGGCCAGTGCTAAGTGTGGAGATGATGTCTACAATGAGGACCCTACTGTCAATGGTACAGTATCATATTATGTTATGGTTGATAAATGAATATCCATGTACTAAAGGTACTATTTGGTATCAAGTGTATGGATATAATGAGGTGATTTGAATGGTACTCATAACATACACACATTCAGTACTTTAACAGTCAACATAGTGTTCTATTGTATTTCTAGAATGATTTAATCAGAGATTTTTTAAAAGTGTGCAAATATTATATTCAATTCCTTTATTTTCATTTTGACTTTTTGATATGAACTAGTGTAAAGACTCAATTAGTGCATCATAATATATTCACACATCACGGAACTAGGCAATGTATGTCCGATTCCAGCCAATCCAAATGCAGTATATCATTTAACTGCAGTGCACCATATAACATATCACCTACCCAAAGTGACAGTTATTCCTTGAAAGGTTGTCAAGGTGACAACTTGTCTCTACAGTTTGAAATTGATGCTTTGCCAACTTTGACAACCCTTGCAAAAAGTTTCATTTAAAATATGATCTTTTAGTGATTTTGTGTATTTTAAGTGACATGGTAGAAAATATCTTGCAATGTGTGAAAAGAATTTAAGTCCAAGACTCAGTGCATTGTGGAATGACCATTCCTTTTAGACATTGTTTATTAGCAATCGAAGCTGCGCATCTTGTGCAAAGTTTGGAAAGCAACACCTTCAAGGAATGGTCATTCTACATTGCATTGAGTCCAGGGCTTAGCTCCTTAAATATATTATACACAATACAACACTAGAGACCTTCACATTGGAAAAAGATTCATGTACAGGTTTTACTATCTCCAATGACCCGAATCATAAAACTGTTATCCAAAAGATAATGTCTTCTCTGTGTTTTAGAGTTGCAGAGAAAATGTGCAGAAATGTTTGGAAAAGAGGCAGCATTATTTGTTCCAACAGGGACTATGGGAAACCTTATATCAGGTAGAATATCAATCAATTGTCAGAATTGTTGTGCATTCAGAAAATTTAAACATTTATTTGAAAATCTAAAACATTGATGTCATTGAGGGAAGTTCATATTTTGTGACCCTCTATAGTCTATATTAATTTTTTAATTACTTTATACATGTACCTTACATATACATGTAAGTGTAAATGTTCAGTATAAAGAAACACAAAATCTGGTTTTGTTGGAGTGAACAATGAAATTATGTTTTCACATGTTCTATTGTAGTTATGACCCACTGTCAAGGCAGAGGGCAAGAGCTTATATGTGGGGACAAATCACATGTGTTCTTGTATGAGCAGGGAGGGGTAGCACATGTAAGTTCTGTTCAGTCCAGTATATTTTACATTTAGCATATAGTTTTCATCAAGCCCTTGTTTTCCACTTTTGTTTAATTTACGTGTCAGAGAGAATGAATGGACATGGGCCATATACAAGACTATTCCATAATACAAGTATTACCAAGAGGAGGGCCCCAGAGTTTAAAGATGACAGACATAATTACGTCTCTTGCTTACCACCTTCGTTTGTTCGAATTTTCATCGGCTAGTTTTCAAATACTACACTTCGATGGGATGTTTTAATTGAATGATATAGCCATATTCCATACACCTTTCTTTATCGTGATGTGAAATGAGATATGATATTGGTTAACATGCCAGAAATGAACTAATATTATTCGAAGCATATTTTGAAAATTTTGAAACCGCCATTGATGACGTCATTTGTTTGTCGACTTTTGAAAATTCAGCGACGATGTCATCTCAATACAGATTGACATTATAAGCGTATGTCATCTTTGAACCCTGGTGTTTCTCCCCCTCTGAGTATTACCATATTGCAGGAAAAATCAAAATTAGCTCTTATATTATTTTTTGCTAACATGTGCATTAGTTGCATTTGCATATTTCAGCAATTATTGTTTCAGACTTAATTTCAAATTTAATTTTTTGTGTTTTAATATTATAGTAAGCTTTTTATGTCATCACCAAAAGTGGTGACATATTGTTACGATCTCCGTTTTTTGTTACGGCAGGTGGCGGTCACTGTCTGTGACAAATTCTTACAACTTCCAATAACTTAACAAATACTGTTTAGACTGACTTCAAATTTTTTCGAAATCATCTACAAGTTCTCAGAAATTGAAATCTGACTCAAGATTTGAGATTTGACCTTCAACAACCTTCTCAAGGTCAAAAAATGTATTTTTTCAACTTGCGATTGACAGTCGGCGTCTGTAACAAATTCTTCCAATAACTTAACAAATACTGTTTAGACTGACTACAGTTTCCCAGAAATTAAAATCTGACTTTAGATTTGACCTTTAGTGACCTTCTCAAGGTCAAAAAGGTCTTTTTAACTTGCTTCAAATTGACCAATTACTTTCAAAATCATCTACATATTCTCAGAACTTCAAATCTAACTTTAGATTTAAGATTTGACATGCAATGGCCTTCTCAATGTAAAAAAGGTCAAAAAGGTATTTTTCAACTTAGCTTCAAACTGACCAATGTTTTTCAAAATCATCTGCAAGTTCTCAGAAGTTCAAATCTACTTTAAATTTAAGCCTTTACCTTCAATGACCTTCTCGAGGTAAAATAGGTATTTTCTCAACTTGCCTTAAATTGTCCAATTTTTCTTTTCAAAATCATCTACATGTTCTCAGAAGTTCACAACTTTTAACCTAAGATTTAAGATTTGACATTCAATGACCTTCTCAAGATAAAAATTTCAAAAAGGAATTTTTTCAACTTGCCTTAAATTGACCAATTTTTGTCTTCAAAATCATCTACAAGTTCAAATCTGACTTAAGATTGAACTTATAATATTGTGAGCAACTAGGTGGTGACATTTTGTCATGTTAAAGCCTTGTTATTTGTTGCAATTAACACATGACTATGATTTCTCCAGAGAACTGAATGCAGTCTTCATTTGGTTATTGCATGATATTATAAACTGTTTCATGATTGTTCTCTACAGCTTGCAGGGATCAACCCATGCCTTGTACCAAACCAACCAGATGGTACTATCAATGTAGACCAACTCCAGGCTCAAGTGAGGGGGGTGGATGTTCATTACCCTGTCACTAAACTGATATGTTTAGAGAACACACACAATTTCTGTGGGGGAAAGGTGTTACCAATGGCTTACTTGGAGAAGGTATAGCTCAATGCTACTAGTCTGCATTTAGAAATAACATGGGGGAATTGATCTCATCTCAGATCACAGAGGAATATACATTGATTCTAATATACAATGATGATAACCCTGTATCCAAAACCACCACGTTCAAAACCCTTTCTATGCATCAGCTTTGTTACTTCTTTTTTTTACACACCAATGCATGCTCTTGATTTTTGACTATTGTATTTTTTTAATTTATTGCTTTCTAAAGTAAGATATTTAGTTAATATTTTGTTCATTTGTTAAAAAATAAGAACATCTTTTTAGTCTCAAATGTCTTTAAACTGACTTTGATGCCCTTAATAATTGATTCAATGGTTTTTATTAACGAGTTTGAATAAAATACATTACATACTTTTAAAATTGGAAAGCACCAAGGGCAACATATAAAAACACTTTACAATAAAACATAACAACAAAAACAAGAAAAAATTCTAGGTGTACTGAATCAAATTCACTTGCAGGTAGGTCATGTTCTTGCAAACACAATAGCCAATAATAAGGATGGTACATTTGATCTAAACAAGCTACATGGTAAGATAAAAGGTGTGAAAAAGAAGCGAATACACGAGTGCCTACCAACTCTAATATGCATAGAAAATACACATGCTGCATGTGGTGGATCAGTTTTACCCATGTTGTTTCTAAAACAGGTACATATGTCTGTTCTTATATATGATATAGTTAAACTGTAAATCCTGTCTATCCAAACAACTCTCTGATTTGAACACCTTTAAAGTCAAGAGGGGCGAAACCAACTTCTTTTGCGCAAATTCTCACCAGCTAGTTACAAAAATAACACTTCGTTGTGATGTAAGCATATTCATTACACCTTTCTTTATCTTGATCCAAAATAACAAGCTATGATATATGCCAAAAATTAACATGATATTATTTGAAGCCTGTTTCGAAAATTTTGAAACTGCTATTGTTTGTCTGTCGATTTGACCAATCAGGGCGATATGTCTTCTCAATACATATTTACATGACAGACATATGTCTTCTTTGAACCCTGGGATTATCCCCGCCTGTTTCAAATCTCAATGTGAGAACTCTTTCTCAGTCACCTTTTGGCCAGTTTCCAGTGGCATTTAGAGGAGACATGCCTATTCCCATTCCCACTGGAGAAAAATAAAGGACCCACGGTCCTGTGTTCACACAGTTTGGAACCTTCAGAGGAATGTATATCCTGACTTTCAAACAAAAATATTGATTTGGATTTGTAGTCTCGAACTTTGAGAAACTTAGATAGCACAGTTGTATGACCTAGTTTGATGACCTTTGACCTTGAAAATTCTACTTATTCAGATAGTAAGGTCTTTTGTGACTAAGTTCACCAAAATTTACATCCAAAAATCAACTTTTTTTTACCTTTCGAAGGTCACTGAAGGTCAATTAAAGGTCAAATCCTAAAACTGATGTCAGATTTGAACTCCTGGCAACTTGTAGATGATTTCCCCAAAAATTTGGTCAAATTGAAGCAAGTTGAAAAATAAATTATTTCTACTGTTTTTTGACGTCAAATATCTCAGAAACTGTAAGAATTTGATGCTGACATATATTGAGCAATATGTAGGTAATGCTTAAATCTAGTAATGATATAATTCATTGCAAGAAATGATCAAGTATAAGGCAAACTTTGAGAAACTTGTCAATCACAAAATCTGCCATTGACTTTATACATGAGAAAGTTTCCTGAAGATGACGAAGTCCTACTTTTTGTAAAATTTTTTAGAGTAAACACCAAAAACTGTAATTCCAAGAGCTTTGAAATCTTCAGAGGACATAAGTTGCATATACAGCAACTACTACAAGTTATTTGAAAGTTCTACTTCAACAAAGTGTCTAGTATTTACAGAAAATTTGACTTTTTGACGTCAAAATCAGCAATTTCTCGGAAACCGGGTGAACTTGGGAAATGGCGATGATAGGTCAAATAGGCATTATGGATATGCATAAAATGAATGTGGATATTATGACTCAATCCGAAAAGCAGTTTTAATTTGTGCAGCCAATGTTGACGGATGGACAGATGGACGGATGGACCAATGGACGGATGGACGCCTGGTCGATCCCATAGGCTCACTGTGTGAGCCAAAGACAGTTTAGACTTATTTTCTCCTGGAAGAAGTTGTTATTTGCTGATACAAATTTTTGTGGATTATGTTGTGACCTTCTCTATTGGGCAGTGGATACTAATACATTGTATTTCCTGCAGATGTGTTGTGTACAGGTGTAGCCACATGGCTATTGAAGTCTATTTAGTGATTAACATTTGTTTAGGTTGAGAGTATAGCCAGAGAGAATGATGTTAAGATTCATATGGATGGTGCAAGAGTCCTTAATGCTGCTACAGCTCTTGACATCCCTGTGGCTGACATAGTGAAACATGCTGACTCTGTGAGCATGTGCTTTTCAAAGGTAAAAAATTAGAAATTCTAATGATCTACTAATTTAGCAATTTAGTACCCAAATAATGTCATAACATAACTATTTTTCAATAAAGTATTTCCAGCCAAAAGCAACAAACATTTCTGTTTATTTACAGGGTGTCCAAAAAAAACAGGACCGTAAGAAAGTTGAATAACTCGGTCAATTTTGCATATTTTTCCTTGAGATTTCAGAATTATTTAGTCCATTCAATGTGAATTTTGTTGTGAAAGTTTGATAATAATCTACCAATTGAGTCAAAAGCTACAGCTCCTTACAAAACATGCCCCAAATGTGCAAATCTCATCTCTATGCACAATTCAATCCGGCAAACAAAGCTGTTGATGATCCTCCTACACACATGTCTTTCTGAATGGACAAGTTTGTTCCAAGAACAATTGCTACTGGGGCTTACATCCTCCTGATGAAGTGTTACATCATCCATTGCATTCTGAACAATGCACTCCCTGGGTGGTAATGAGGAAACATGGAATCATCAGTCCCTTTTGGTTCGAATGTGACTGGGGACTTGCTATCACCATGAACAAGGACCAGTAAGTTCTCACCAAGTTTTGGAGGTCACTAAGCACCGGAAGGGACATTTAAGAAGATAATTAAGCAGTGGTTTCAACAAGCCAATACCACCCCAACACTGCAAATGATATGCTGAAATGGTTTAGGCAATGCTTTGGTGGTCAGCTCATCAGTTGCAGAACGCAAACCATATGGGCAGCTCATTCACCTGATCTAAATCCCCCAAGTTTTCATCTTTGAGGATTTCTCAAAGCGAATGTGTATACTGACAGGCCCCTAACAATCTTAAGAGGGCAATACCTACCCCAATGTTTACCATTCACATTAATGTGTATAGGTAAGGGTCATTAACAACTTTGTTCGTAGGATTCGTTTGTGCATAGAGAGGAGAAGTGCCCACTTTGAGCATGTTTTGTAAAGGACTGTAGTTTTTGACAAAATAAACAGATTATCATCAAACTTTCAGAACAAAATTCACATTGAATGAACTAAATAATTCTCAAATTTCAAGGCAAAATATGCAAAATTGACCGAGTTATTCAACTTTCTTACGGTCCTGTTTTTTTTGGACACCCTGTACATACAGGGTGGTAAAAAAATGGAAACCCTAATACCATTTTTCTTATAACTTTGTCATTTTAAGAAATAACTCACTGATATTTTGGACTTTTGTACATCATTCAATTTGCTACCAGCCTACTTTATTTCATCACCATCAGCTTGATAGTCACAATGTTACAGTACTTTAAAGAACATGTCCCAGTGGCCACTATTGCCCTGTCGGGAAACCTGTACTCATCATCTAAAATGTCCCTACCTGTGGGGATACAGCAGAGATAGAGTATATGAGAATGACCTCAGGACAATTTCAAACCTCAAAAGTGAGATCATTCATGTCATTCAGGCCATACCTGCTGAGGAATGCATTCGGGTCATTGACAACTCTGCTGTTTTGCCTACAGCTCGATGATGGCCAAATCTGAAGCATGTTATTCAAAGTGCTGTAAAATTGTGACTATCAGTCTGATGGTCATGAAATATGGTAGGGTGGTAGGAAATTGAATGATGTACAAATGTGTGAAATATCAAGGAGTAATTTTCTAAAGTAACAAAGATATAAGGAAAATGCAGGGTTTCCATTTTTTGACCACCCTGTATTAGCAAACATCATCATGATCATATATGTTGTGCTGTAATTTTAAATTGAATGTGATTTACTGCGAGTTACTTTTGATTTACAGGGACTAGGTGCACCAGTTGGATCTATTATGGCAGGGACAGAACAGTTTGTAAATATGTATGTTTATTATTATTGATAATTAAATAATAAGAATGGCAGCAAGGAGAAGAGAGTTGGAACCTTATTTTCGGAAAAAGAATGGAATGTACTAAAAACCCTTCAACATTTGACATGCACCTATGACTTTCAACTTACTTGGTACGGATGTCAAGAATCTTTTGGAATGTATTTTAATAAAAACTCTAATAAGTGATTGGTTTTATGTATAACATTTATTTATAATATTTGATTTGACGCCGCTTGTGGCATTGTGTCTAGAGTCACTGTGTATGACAGTTCTATCTTTTCCTTGTAGGCACAAAGGTATGGATAGTGTGTCCAAAGGGGTGAAGGTTTTTTATTAAAATACACTCCAAAAATTTCTTGACAACCAGTAGGTCTTAGGTTGAAGAGTTTTTAGTACATTCCAAAATGAATTGAGAATTCTGATCAAATAAAATAGTTATTAGATTTAAGATGCAGAAATTTAAGTACCTTAATAGTCAAAGGGTTTCTTTGAAGTAAGGAAAGAATAGTGGGAAATGTGACAGCAAAATGTGATAATGAGATTCAATTTGATTGGATGATTGAAACAAATCACCTTTCTGACCATTTGTAGATTTTTTTGTTGATGTTTTATTTATTCATCAATATCATATAAACCATCGGCTTTCAAGTTAAAAGCCCATGTATAAACGTATATATCAAAGATTGAGATGAAACATAAGTATTTTACTTCATTTCAATCTTCATCTCTAGGGTTTGCAAAAAAGATCGACCCCACCGACCAGTCGGTTTTTTGAAACACTGCCAACTTATCGCATCCTACGACCCCTTTAGATTGTGGTCGTATGCGCGTATAATTGGGCAGTCAATGTTTTTACAAAGTATGAGAAAATACTACGCATTGCACACCTAAATGACCTACCTCTATACATTCCTTAGTATTTTAGAATTCTTTTTATGTTGTTAGATCGCCAATTGTATGGGTTTATCGGCAGAACGAAGAGATTTTAGTTTTTACATCGGAAATATATCAGCAATTTTCAAAATGTCGGAAGGGGAATTCCCCAGGGATTTCCCTTATGACTGGTGCATGCCGGGAACTGAATGGAGGAATTTGACGGTTGAAATAAGTTAAATATTACACGCAAATATTGCTATCAAAAACGAAAACCTCTTCGTTCTGCCGATAAACCCACACAATTGTGGATTCAACTACACGAAAAGAATGGTAAAATACCAAGGAATCTATTGAAATAGGTATCTTAAGTGTAAGAAGCGTAGAAAATTCTCCCATGTTGTAATCGTACAGACAAAAGAATGAGACGTTCGCAAGACTAGAACGTAGAGATAGTCTTGGAACGAGATAAACTGCCAACCTAACGTTTCTGATAACGTTTCTAATAAAATGATTTGTTTTTGTCAGACTGATTACTGAACAAACACAATGTAATCAAAGAAGCACGATCAACATAGTCACTGCATGTGTTCATTTTCTCTGCGAATAAACAGCTTTTCAGTTAAAAAATAAATTTTGTGAAAACATTGAAATTTCTTGTAAAAATGACCTTCTCCGCCACATCATCCAAATTAGTCGTGAATTTGCACCAATCCATCATTAGATAAAAGACCGATCGCCATCCAGTAACCATGTGTACCCAACTGTGGAGAGTGACTGATTGGTGGTCTTTTGGTCTTTTTTGTAAACCTCATCTCTTGTTTTAATGATATTTAAAAAGCTAATAGAGAATTAAATGCTACAAATAAATTCACAACATATAACTCAGGCCCGTAGCCAGGGGGGGTTCGCAGGGTTCGGGCGACCCCCCCCTGGCCAAAAATTCTTTCAAAATCATGCAGTTTTTCACCATTTCGAGCACTTCTCTTGTGATTTTAGCCATATTTGGGCCAAAATTGTCAAATGTGAACCCCCCCCTGGAAATTTTTGAAAACTGAACCCCCCCCTGGCAAATCCTGGCTACGGGCCTGTAACTTATATATATCTGTAATCTGATTGGTGCAGTGTGAGCGCCCTATACACCAATCACATGACAGATAGGTAAGCTAATGTCTGCTTCCATATAGTGAAAACTTGAGTGGATAGAATACCTGAATACTATTGAATGTCTTTAGGGCTCTTCGTATTCGCAAGATGCTTGGGGGTGGCATGCGACAGGTGGCAGTACTAGCTGCTCCAGCCCTAGTAGCATTAGAGGAGTCAATCCCCAAACTGGCAGATGATCATAAACATGCACGTATCATTGCAAGAGGTCTGATCTTATTTTACTATTAAATTTATTAATTTTTCAATTGACTCTGGACCAGCAAGACAATGTATCAAACAATGTATGGCCAAAATAGTTATAACTTTGACAATATCATTTCACATGGATTTTGTTCAAAATGTGAGCAGTGGGCCTGACATTTACCAGATGTACATGAACCACATCTTGTACATACACCACATCTTGTACATGCACCACATCTTGTACATGTACATGAACCACATCTTGTAAATGTACATGAACCACATCTTGTAAATGTACATGAACCACATCTTGTACATGTACATGAACCACATCTTGTACATGTACATTAAAATTATAGTGAAAAAAACTAGCAAAAATGCTCTGTTAGCCAAGAAATCAAAAAAATGTACCTTCGCAAAAGTCCACTTCATGCATGTGGGTAGAGTACCCTAATATTGTTTTCATGAAAGTGTTCCTTTGCTGTTTATCACTCTATAAACCCACACGCGCCATTTTTATTATGTCACCACCAAAAGTGGTGACATATTGTTATGGTCTCCGTTTTTTTGTTATGTCACCACCAGAAGTGGTGACATATTGTTATGGTCTCCGTTTTTTTGCAACGGCGGTTGGCGTCCGGCGGTTGGAGGTTGGCGTCCGGCGGTTGGAGGTTGGCGTCTGTAACAATTTCTTACAACTTCCTATAACTTAACAAATACTGTTTAGACTGACTTCAATTTTTTTCTAAATCATCTACATGTTCTCAGAAGTTCAAATCTGACTTTAGATTTGACATTTGACCTTCAATGACCTTCTCAAAGTCTAAAAGGTCTTTTTTCAACTTGCTTCACATTGACTAGATTTTTTTTCAAAATCATCTACATGTTCTCAGAAATTCAAATCTGACTTTTGATTTGACTTTAGATTTGACATTTGACCTTCAAATCTGACTTTAGATTTGACATTTGACCTTCAATGACCTTCTCAAGGTCAAAAAAGGTCAAAAAGGTCTGTTTTCAACTTACTTCAAATTGACTAAATTTTTTTTTCAAAATCATCTACGTGTTCTCAGAAATTCAAATCTGACTTAAGATTTGACTTAAGATCTGACATTTGACCTTCAATGACCTTCTCAAGGTCAAAAAAGGTCAAAAAGGTCTGTTTTCAACTTGCTTCAAATTGACTAAAAAAATTTTTCAAAATCATCTACGTGTTCTCAGAAATTCAAATCTGACTTTAGATTTGACTTAAGATTTGACATTTGACCTTCAATGACCTTCTCAAAGTCAAAAAAGGTCAAAAAGGTCTTTTTTCAACTTGCTGCAAATTGACTAAAATTTTTTTTCAAAATCATCTCCGTGTTCTCAGAAATTCAAATCTGACTTTAGATTTGACATTTGACCTTCAATGACCTTCTCAATGTCAAAAAAGGTCAAAAAGGTATTTTTTCATCTTGCTTCAAATTGACTAAATTTTTTTTCAAAATCATCTACATGTTCTCAGAAATTCAAATCTGACTTTAGATTTGACATTTGACTTTTAATGACCTTCTCAAGGTCAAAAAAGGTCAAAAAGGTCTGTTTTCAACTTGCTTCAAATTGACCAAATTTTTTTTTCAAAATCATCTACATCTTTTCAGAAGTTCAAATCTGACTTTAGATTTGACCTTTGACCTTCAATGACCTTCTCAAGGTCAAAAAGGTCTTTTTTCAACTTGCTTCAAATTGACTAATTTTTTTTTCAAAATCATCTACATGTTCTCAGAAGTTCTTCTTAAGGTCAAAAGGTATTTTCCAACTTGCTTTAAATTGACCAAATTGTTTTAGGTGGTGACATTTTGTCATGTTAATGCCTTGTATTTCTTTGATTTCAGCTTGATGTTTTTCATTCTGTTCACTACATGTATATATTATCTGAAAATTACTTGATAAAGTAGTGCAATAAGTTAACAACCAGTTCTGGATCTATGCATAATTTATATGTTTTTAATAAAGTAGATGTTTTACAGATTTTTTAACCATTTCTTCACAAACCTGGATACTATTGGCCTACGATTATTGATAATTTCGAGGTCAGTCATTTTTTATTATCACCACCTTGCGAGGCCTGTTCTCAGGGTTTTAGTACTAGTTTAGAAGGCTTATGTTCTACTATATCGGCTTGAGCAAGTGCTGAGCCATAGTGGAGGGCCATAGTGGTCATTACCTGTCCTGGTCCAATGTGAATAACTTAAGTGGTGATAATAGTAATAATCTCATATCAGCAGGCAACATAATGAAATCTTGCCCTTTGGAGCACCTGGGCCAAGATTTCAATATGTTGCCCTTTGAAATGAGGTAATTGCTTTTTTGAGCTTGAGATAGTCTCTCATCTAAATAAAACCTGTAAATTCATGTAAATTTACATGAGGGTGTCATTGTTTTGTAGGTATTAAGGAGAAGCAGGCTGGTATAGAGATTGACATGGAGGGCCTGCATACAAATATTCTGGTGATGGAGTTTATGAATACATCTATCACTCCTCAACAGTTTGTTCAACGACTCTTTGAGGTATGTATAAGTCTTAGTGGTATTGTAACTCTAATTAGAATCAACCTTGACAGCAGGGAATAAGTGAATTGTTTGAGGTTGAATATCAGGATGAAATGCTGACATTTTTTATGTGGAATATAACCCTTACCAAGAATTGTTGATCTAGAGGCACAATTTCTTCAAGTGAATTTTTAGTCACCAAAGTTGTTTAGGGTAAAATATCCAACCTGATTTTGGATTTAAATGTGTTTGGATGAAATATCTAAGGATGAAATATTTTGGGTTGAAATGTCTTGGTGAGAAATATCTAAGGTTGAAATGTTTTGGTTGAAATGTCTTGGGGAGAAATATCTAAGGGTGAAATGTTTTTGGTTGAAATGTCTTGGGGAGAAATATCTACGGTTGAAATGTCTTGGGGAGAAATATCTAAGGGTGAAATGTTTTTGGTTGAAATGTCTTGGGGAGAAATATCTAAGGGTGAAATGTTTTTGGTTGAAATGTCTTGGGGAGAAATATCTAAGGTTGAAATGTTTTTGGTTGAAATGTCTTGGGGAGAAATATCTAAGGGTGAAATGTTTTTGGTTGAAATGTCTTGGGGAGAAATATCTAAGGTTGAAATGTTTTTGGTTGAAATGTCTTGGGGAGAAATATCTAAGGTTGAAATGTTTTTGGTTGAAATGTCTTGGGGAGAAATATCTAAGGTTGAAATGTTTTTGGTTGATATGTCTTGGGGAGAAATATCTAAGGTTGAAATGTTTTTGATTGAAATGTCTTGGGGAGAAATATCTAAGGTTGAAATGTTTTGGTTGAAATGTCTTGGGGAGAAATATCTAAGGGTGAAATGTTTTTGGTTGAAATGTCTTGGGGAGAAATATCTAAGGGTGAAATGTTTTTGGTTGAAATGTCTTGGGGAGAAATATCTAAGGGTGAAATGTTTTTGGTTGAAATGTCTTGGGGAGAAATATCTAAGGGTGAAATCTAAGGGTGAAATGTTTTTGGTTGAAATGTCTTGGGGAGAAATATCTAAGGTTGAAATGTTTTTGGTTGAAATGTCTTGGGGAGAAATATCTAAGGGTGAAATGTTTTTGGGAGAAATATTTAAGAGTGAAATGTTTTGGGTTGATATGTTTTGGGGAGAAGTATCTAAGGTTGAAATGTTTTGGGTTGATATGTTTTGGGGAGAATATTTAATGATAAGTCCTCCATTTCCCAATGGCTGGTTGAGTATAAAGGTTAAAGAGAATAATAAGTTGTGATTTAAGGTGCCTGGAAAACTACATTTGAAAACAATTCAGAGAGGATAGTAATCATTGGGGTTATAAATATTACATGATCATGTACACATTCTTTTAAAATGTGTAGCTCATGTGTGAATGACATGTCAATGGCATGAAAACTGACAGTGAAGACAATACAGCATAAGCCGTGAAATGAACCCTGCAACATTTTGTTTCAGGTTACAGAGGAAGAGAAGCGTGTAATTGGAGGGGCCGTATCAGTGAAACTTCTTGCCATAGCTTCAAACAAAGCTCGCTTAGTAACACATAGAGATATCACAACTGATGATATTCATTTAGTTATGAAGAAAATACTATATGTGTTAGATGAGTTTAAAGCCAACACTTAAAAGGTTACCACTGCTCATGGAACCATGGCAGGCAGAGATGGGTTGGGCTAGACCCATAACTTGGCTCATGGAACCATGGCAGGCAGAGATGGGTTGGGCTAGACCCATAACTTGGCTCATGGAACCATGGCAGGCAGAGATGGGTTGGGCAAGACCCATAACTTGGCTCATGGAACCATGGCAGGCAGAGATGGGTTGGGCTAGACCCATAACTTGGCTCATGGAACCATGGCAGGCAGAGATGGGTTGGGCTAGACCCATAACTTGGCTCATGGAACCATGGCAGGCAGAGATGGGTTGGGCTAGACCCATAACTTGGCTCATGGAACCATGGCAGGCAGAGATGGGTTGGGCTAGACCCATAACTTTGCTAACCATATGGTTCTTGCTTCCCCAGGCATGAAGTTTCTGAAGCATCAGAGTAAAATGATATTTACAGGGCGTCCACAAAAAAGTTTAAAAATGGTTCAACTAACACTTGAGCAGTAGAGCCAACAAAAAGTTCTAAAAAGCAAGTCCGATGTTCTGTTTATAGAGCCCCTATATTCTTACTATTGAAATGGATTCTACCAGTAGCAATACTGCCCCACATGAATCTACTTCTTTAGACTCAATAAACTCGAATTCTTGAGAAATTGAGGATTTCAGCAAGGTTTATTGACTTTACATGAGGATACAATTTACTTCAAAGCTGCATACCATCAAGTATAAGTTTCATTGCTGATTAAGAAGCTTTTCGGAACAATTTCACTAGAGGGAGGTACCAACAAAAAATTGTGGAAGATTATGCAAAAGTGTGAAAAACATGGAACAAGATTGAAGACAAAAAACATTCACTGTGTCATTCCTACTTGAATGCTAACTTGGAACAGTGATGATTTTACCACCTTTTATGATGGCCATGATTGCTCAGTTAACCTTGACAGTTACATAATGATCTAAATACAGTTTGATGGAGGACAAACTAGGCCTTTTACTGCTACCTTTGTATTTTAAAAACTGCTCAGAATTTAGTATCCTGGCTTTGAAGTTGGGTATACATTTTGTGGACACCCTGTAGTTTGTAGAGGTATATTTTGTTGATGTGTATTTTATTCAATTTATGTTTTATTTAATTTGTACATACATATAAATATATATGTAATTTTAACATTGCATAGTAACAATGTGACAGGGTAATAAATTGTGTACATATTGTATTTTTACATACATCTAAAATGTATTAAAACAATATGATTTTGACACTATTGTCAACTAAACAATGTATGATATAATTTTAATATTACATATGAACAATTAGCAGGGTAATAAATTGTGTACATGTTGTATGTTGTGGATTGTAAATGTACTAAAATGTATTAAAACAATATAATTTTGACACTTATTGTCATCTAAACAATGTATGATATGATTTTAATATTACATATGAACAATTAGCAGGGTAATAAATTGTGTACAGGTTGTATGTTGTGGATTGTACATGTACTAAAATGTATTAAAACAATATGATTTTGACACTTATTGTCATCTAAACAATGTATGATGTGATTTTAATATTACATATGAACAATCAGCAGGGTAATAAATTGTGTACATGTTGTATGTTGTGGATTGTACATGTACTAAAATGTATTAAAACAATATGATTTTGACACTTATTGTCAACTAAACAATGTATGATATAATTTTAATATTACATATGAACAATTAGCAGGGTAATAAATTGTGTACAGGTTGTATGTTGTGGATTGTACATGTACTAAAATGTATTAAAACAATATGATTTTGACACTTATTGTCATCTAAACAATGTATGATGTGATTTTAATATTACATATGAACAATCAGCAGGGTAATAAATTGTGTACATGTTGTATGTTGTGGATTGTACATGTACTAAAATGTATTAAAACAATATGATTTTGACACTTATTGTCAACTAAACAATGTATGATATAATTTTAATATTACATATGAACAATTAGCAGGGTAATAAATTGTGTACATGTTGTATGTTGTGGATTGTACATGTAGTAATATGTATTAAAACAATATGATTTTGACACTATTGTCAACTAAACAAGTATGATATAATTTTAATATTACATATGAACAATTAGCAGGGTAATAAATTGTGTACATGTTGTATGTTGTGGATTGTAAATGTACTAAAATGTATTAAAACAATATGATTTTGACACTTATTGTCAACTAAACAATGTATGATATAATTTTAATATTACATATGAACAATCAGCAGGGTAATAAATTGTGTACAGGTTGTATGTTGTGGATTGTATATGTACTAAAATGTATTAAAACAATATGATTTTGACACTTATTGTCAACTAAACAACGTATGATATAATTTTAATATTACATATGAACAATTAGCAGGGTAATAAATTGTGTACAGGTTGTATGTTGTGGATTGTACATGTACTAAAATGTATTAAAACAATATGATTTTGACACTTATTGTCAACTAAACAATGTATGATATAATTTTAATATTACATATGAACAATCAGCAGGGTAATAAATTGTGTACATGTATGCTGTGGATTGTACATGTACTAATATGTATTCAAACAATATGATTTTGACACTTATTGTCAACTAAACAATGTATGATATAATTTTAATATTACATATGAACAATTAGCAGGGTAATAAATTGTGTACAGGTTGTATGTTGTGGATTGTACATGTACTAAAATGTATTAAAACAATATGATTTTGACACTTATTGTCATCTAAACAATGTATGATGTGATTTTAATATTACATATGAACAATTAGCAGGGTAATAAATTGTGTACAGGTTGTATGTTGTGGATTGTACATGTACTAAAATGTATTAAAACAATATGATTTTGATACTTATTGTCAACTAAACAATGTATGATATAATTTTAATATTCCATATGAACAATCAGCAGGGTAATAAATTGTGTACATGTATGCTGTGGATTGTACATGTACTAAAATGTATTAAAACAATATGATTTTGACACTTATTGTCAACTAAACAATGTATGATATAATTTTAATATTACATATAAACAATTAGCAGGGTAATAAATTGTGTACATGTATGCTGTGGATTGTACATGTACTAAAATGTATTAAAACAATATGATTTTGACACTTATTGTCATCTAAACAACGTATGATATAATTTTAATATTACATATGAACAATTAGCAGGGTAATAAATTGTGTACATGTATGCTGTGGATTGTACATGTACTAAAATGTATTGAAACAATATGATTTTGACACTTATTGTCATCTAAACAACGTATGATATAATTTTAATATTACATATGAACAATTAGCAGGGTAATAAATTGTGTACATGTATGCTGTGGATTGTACATGTACTAAAATGTATTAAAACAATATGATTTTGACACTTATTGTCAACTAAACAATGTATGATATAATTTTAATATTACATATGAACAATCAGCAGGGTAATCAATTGTGTACATGTTGTATGTACTAATATGTATTCAAACAATATGATTTTGACACTTATTGTCATCTAAACAATGTATGATATAATTTTAATATTACATATGAACAATTAGCAGGGTAATAAATTGTGTACATGTATGCTGTGGATTGTACATGTACTAAAATGTATTAAAACAATATGATTTTGACACTTATTGTCATCTTAACAATGTATGATATGATTTTAATATTACATATGAACAATTAGTAGGGTAATAAATTGTGTACATGTTGTATGTTGTGGATTGTACATGTACTAAAATGTATTAAAACAATATGATTTTGACACTTATTGTCATCTAAACAATGTATGATGTGATTTTAATATTACATATGAACAATCAGCAGGGTAATAAATTGTGTACATGTATGCTGTGGATTGTACATGTACTAAAATGTATTAAAACAATATGATTTTGACACTTATTGTCAACCAAACAATGTATGATATGATTTTAATATTACATATGAACAATTAGCAGGGTAATAAATTGTGTACATGTTGTATGTTGTGGATTGTACATGTACTAAAATGTATTAAAACAATATGATTTTGACACTTATTGTCATCTAAACAACGTATGATATAATTTTAATATTACATATGAACAATTAGCAGGGTAATAAATTGTGTACATGTTGTATGTTGTGGATTGTACATGTACTAAAATGTATTAAAACAATATGATTTTGACACTTATTGTCATCTAAACAACGTATGATATAATTTTAATATTACATATGAACAATCAGCAGGGTAATAAATTGTGTACATGTATGCTGTGGATTGTACATGTACTAAAATGTATTGAAACAATATGATTTTGACACTTATTGTCATCTAAACAACGTATGATATAATTTTAATATTACATATGAACAATTAGCAGGGTAATAAATTGTGTACATGTTGTATGTACTAATATGTATTCAAACAATATGATTTTGACACTTATTGTCATCTAAACAACGTATGATATAATTTTAATATTACATATGAACAATTAGCAGGGTAATAAATTGTGTACATGTTGTATGTACTAATATGTATTCAAACAATATGATTTTGACACTTATTGTCATCTAAACAATGTATGATATGATTTTAATATTACATATGAACAATTAGCAGGGTAATAAATTGTGTACATGTTGTATGTACTAATATGTATTCAAACAATATGATTTTGACACTTATTGTCATCTAAACAATGTATGATATGATTTTAATATTACATATGAACAATTAGCAGGGTAATAAATTGTGTACATGTTGTATGTTGTGGATTGTATATGTACTAAAATGTATTAAAACAATATGATTTTGACACTTATTGTCATCTAAACAATGTATGATGTGATTTTAATATTACATATGAACAATCAGCAGGGTAATAAATTGTGTACATGTATGCTGTGGATTGTACATGTACTAAAATGTATTAAAACAATATGATTTTGACACTTATTGTCAACCAAACAATGTATGATATGATTTTAATATTACATATGAACAATTAGCAGGGTAATAAATTGTGTACATGTTGTATGTACTAATATGTATTCAAACAATATGATTTTGACACTTATTGTCATCTAAACAATGTATGATATGATTTTAATATTACATATGAACAATTAGCAGGGTAATAAATTGTGTACATGTTGTATGTACTAATATGTATTCAAACAATATGATTTTGACACTTATTGTCATCTAAACAATGTATGATATGATTTTAATATTACATATGAACAATTAGCAGGGTAATAAATTGTGTACATGTTGTATGTTGTGGATTGTACATGTACTAATATGTATTAAAACAATATGATTTTGACACTTATTGTCAACTAAACAATGTATGATATAATTTTAAT